ATTTTTTTTTTTTTTTTTTGCTTTTTTTTTTTTTTTTGAATGTCCAGAGGACCAGATTGAACTTTTTTGGATTTTTCTACCTGGATTATTGAGCATGCATCAGGATAGTCTGAACAGTTAATATCTTACCTGCAGCAGAACGATGAGGGAACAGCTAGTCTGAGCGCCAGACCTCCAAAGTTCAGAGCGGTTGTGTCCAAATACAGAATTTCTAACGTGTAAATCTGCTGCTTTCTGCTGAGTGCTAGCAGCAGCAGCAGCTAGCAGCAGCAGCAGATAGCAGCAGCAGCTAGCGGTAGCACTTCTGGTGTAAAATCGTTCTGCCCGGGGGGGAAGAAAACAAAAAGCTCAATTTGAAAGTAAAGTTTTCTGAAACGGTTCTTGTATCCTGACCTTGGTTCAGGTCCCACTCGGACTATTCCTGGGGTCTACAATCTGTGGTTCTGGGGCCACGTGTGGCCCTTTGGTCTGTTTGCAGCGGCCCTCTGGATCTTGGACCAAAATTAACAAATAAATTTGATTTAAAATCATGAGAGGAAGATGATAAAAATGCAACTCATTCTGGAAACGCCACAAATGAAAAAAACGAAGTTTATTACAGATCTGATGGTCATGAAGTCACCACCTCCTCTGACGCCTCGTGTTTCTAGAACTTTTCAAGCTCTGAGGACCAACCTGCGGCTGTAGAGTCCGAGACCTGCGGATTATCTTCAGCTCGTCTTAAACTCGTGTTTCTCCCGTCTGAGGTCGTTCAGACTCATCTACGACAGGTGAGATATTAACTGTTCGTGACTTCAGGAATAACTAAATCTGCTGCTCATTTTAATTTAAATGTTTCTGCAGTTCTTTCAGCAAACTGACGAGCTTCAGAGAGATGTACAGTTTTTGTTTCTGCAGGTCTGGTCACTTAATCTGCTCCGTCAGCAGTTCTGTTTGTTCAGTGGATTAGGGTCGGAGCGCTGCTGCCGGGTCTGCGGTTCTGTGGGTCTTTGTGCAGCTGATCCAGCAGAGACACTAAACTGTAACACTGGGAGGAAGGAGACACTGCATCTGCTCCCAACATGAACCCTCTCAAACCAGAGTCCTGCCCCGAGTCCAGAGTCCTGCCCCGAGTCCAGAGTCCTGCCCCGAGTCCAGAGTCCTGCCCCGAGTCCCTCTGATTTATCAACGTTCTCCTGGGCTGCACATGTGCAGATGTTCAGATCTAACAAACTCTGACTGAAAGTTTCAAGGAGCTCAGAGGCCGATGCCGCGTTCACTGACGGTGATGCTGCGTTCACTGACGGCGATGCTGCGTTCACTGACGGGATGCTGCGTTCACTGACGGTGATGCTGCGTTCGAGGGCTAGAAGTTCTTCGGCTTCTGTTTGAGATGGTTTGAAACTTTCCTCTAAAACTTCTTGTGATTCTAGTTTTTCGTCTTCACTGAAGTTTAAAGTTGACCCGAGTTTCTTCACAGAACCAGATTTAACTCCGGTTCCAGGGGTCGACCGTTTGTTCACCTTGGACAGGTGTTCTCTCTGGCAGCGCAGGTGAGCGTGAGAATACGTCGCTTTACTTAATCTGAGATTAAGAAAAGAAGCAGATTGTAAAAACTGAGAGAGAGAAAATAAAAGTTTGCATCGTCTGCATCAAAATAATAAAAGGCAGCGGCGCAGGTTTGTAGTTTGTGCAGAAATCACGTGGAGCTCATTCCAAAGCTGCAGCAGCTTCGTTCTCTGGCGTCGGATTAAAAACCACCGGTCGGTGAAAGAATCAGATAATCTGAGCCAAACCAAATAAACACTGGAGGTGGTTTTAAATAAAATACTTTAAACCACCCTTAGATCTACTTCCTGTCTGGAATCAAACCTCCATGAAAGGTGGGCCATCATGTATCGGCTGCCACTGGCTGTCTGTCAGCAAAATATCAAGTCCAAAGCTTCAAATATCTAAAATCAAAGTGAACCTCAGATTGGGACAAAATGTTTTTGCTTAAAAATAACTGTTAGCTGTATATTAGTTTAAATTAAATATTAAATATTCTGACTTTAATCTTTTAAAAATATTTATTTTTATTAACCGTCACTGGAAACAGAATTTATTTCCTTTTTATAATTTGCATAAATAAAAATAAAGACCTGCAGATTAGAAACTTCAAATATGAGGGGTTTGAATAAAATTATATAAAATAAAAACTTAACAGGCTGAAACTAAAAGAAGAATTTAAAAATAAAAACGTGTTAATTATTATAAAATTAATCACACGTTACTCTGCTTTAAACTGTGGAAGAATTATTTTATTTAGGAAATAAAAGTTGGATTTTGACATCAAGAACAAATTTAATTTCATGTTTAAGTTTTATTTCACATTTATGGAAACAGATTTAATTTAGTTTTTCTGCTTGATAATCTTTAAAGTTTGATCTTGAGTGACAGAAGTTTTAATTTTTGAATCTTGAACTTCAGAAATAAAAAAGTTTAGTGTCGTGCTTGTCCAGCAGGGGGCGCTGCCGCCCACAAACCTTCACCTCAACAGACCAGTTCTCATCAAAACATTTTATTAAATAAAAAGATGTAAAAATGTTTTCAACTAACGGACCAAACTTCAAGACAAATAAAATTCATCAAAGACAAACTAATAAATCCCTGATAATAAAAATGTTAAACAATTTATATGTTAAATATTTGACAATAAAATAAAAATGTATTTTGTTTCCGTTTACCGATTTAGAGTTCTTAAACGTTCTGTTGTCACAGTTGGTCTTTAACTTTAACTACTTCAGCTGATTTAAATTTCATTTTTGAATGGACTGAAGTTCTTCGGCTGTTTTTCACCTGAGAGGTCAAAGGTGCCTCCAACGAGCAGATAATCTGCTGCAGCTGAAAATCCTGCAGGAGCTTCGGCTGAGGAATCGTTCTGCAGACTAGCTGAAGGAGGTTATTTAGCTGATAGACGGCTAAAGAGGAAGAAGCTCCAGCTTACAACTCTGACCTGCAGCTAAAACTCACAGGGTTTTGGACTTCGGCTGATTTTGGTAATATTTTGACCTAAATTATTCAAACAGATGAGCCGAAGTTTGACTCAAAACAAATTCAGCTGTTTGTTTTCTGCAGAAATGCAGCTGGAGCGCTGAGCGACTCCTGCAGTTCTTAAACGCTCAAATCAGCAACATCATGGCTGAAAGTTACAATTAGAAGATCATCCATTGTCTAGGAGGTCCGCACATCTCTCTCCACCGCGTCACCACAACGGACCGGCACAGACTCCACAATACTGAAGAAGCTGCTCCGATCCGTCTGGTGATCTCATGCTCTGTTCTTCCCTCACTGAGAACAAAACATGAACTGCTCCATCAGAACCTCCTCCACCCGGACAGGACGGTCCTCCCTGCTCAGACTGAGGACCAGGGCCACGGGTTCTGGTCCTCATCCCATCTGAGGACCAGAACCTCCACATCTGGACATCAGCTGACAGGAAGTGAGTTCTGTTTTCTTCTTTAGATTTTATTTCCTCTTTATGTTAAAAAGAATCTGCATTCAGGACCTGCTGCTCCACCAGGAACAAACCAGCTTCACCTGTACACCCCCCCCACCCCCCACCAGCTCTGCGCTTCACTTTATTGGCTTTTGAACGAAACAGAGCAGTTTCCAACATGTAGAGACCTCAGAGTGTGCGTGCGTGTGCGCGTGTGTGTGCAGACTAATCATTGGAGAGCGTTTCTTTCATCGGCTCAGTGTTGCCATGGTAACGGGGTGAAACAGGTTGTTCTGCTCTGGAGAAAAATTAATGCATCAAAAATATTTTTGTCTCTGAAACAAGAAACGAATCTTGTGAGAGTGAAGCTGCACGGACAAGCCTGAGCGCAGCGCGCGCACACACGCACGCCCTCCCTCACTCTGTTTCCCAGCGTCAGACCAGCAGGATCAGGATCAGGAGGACCTGGGTCGGACTCGGCTGCTGCCTGTCAGTCCACACTCGGGGCTCAGCAGCTGGATCCAGTTTCTGCTCCTGAGGATCTGAGACCTGCTGCGGTCCCGCTCGGACCTGGAACCATCTGTGCTGGGACTCGGGAACATTTAGGAGGATCCTCCTGGACCTTCAGACCTGCAGGACCACAAAAGATCTTTAAACTCCAGGAGTTGGTCTGGATCCATGGATCTGGATCAGCACTTTGCTGGATTTCTTGTCCCAGAGGAGGAGGTGCTCGGAGTCCAGCAGCTTTTAGGAGAAGGAGGAACTCTTCAGACCCACGTGAGGATCAAACTGGTCTCAGGTGCTTTTATTCTTCTCAACCACAAACTGCAGGTCTCCATGAAAATCTGACTTCTTTAAATCTACCAGGATTATTCTGCCCGAGTCTGGAGATTAAATCTCACCAACAGATTTGACTCCAGATTCACTGAAGGTGAGCAAAGATTTCCTGTTTTTAAAGAATCCCCTTAATCTGCTCGTTCCTTTCATTTATGAGATTAAACCTGAAGATTAAACCTGAAGATAAATTTAAAGATTAAACCTGAAGATTAAATTTATCTTCAGGTTTAATCTTTAAATTTAAAGATTAAACCTAATTTTACTTTGCTTTGACTAAAAGTTTGTGTTTCTTGCTGTGAAGCACAAAGCTGCAGGTTGCTGGTTTGAAACCCAGATTTCTGAGCAACAAAAGCAGCTGTTTGACTCTGAGGGTGATTTAAACGCTGAGTTCAACGCAGAGACTGTGGGATTAAATGTGAGGGATTATTTGTGGATTTTAGCTTCCAGAGGTGTTGAAGTTCTGCAGAGAAGCAGCTGAAGGTTCGTCCTGAACGTGTCCCACAGCAGCTGCAGAACGTGTCCCACAGCAGCTGCAGAACGTGTCCCACAGCAGCTGCAGAACGTGTCCCACAGCAGCTGCAGAACGTGTCCCACAGCAGCTGCAGAACGTGTCCCACAGCAGCTGCAGAACGTGAACAGATTTAATCTGAACTCACGAAGAGAAACTCAAATTAAATGTTGCCAGTTTTGATGAAAAAGTGCAGATCAGGTGGTTCCAGGTTCAGTTCTGGTTCCGGTCAGGTAAAAGATCCAGAGCTGAGAAAATGAGACGCTCAGATTGTCCAACTTCCTGTCTGAGGAGACGCGGGGACGTTTGGACATGAGACTGAGACACGTCCGGTTTGTTTGAGACTCAGATTTGACCTCAGATGTTCCACATCAGGACCGAACTCTTCAGAGTCAAAAACTAATAATTTCATGTTTTCTTGTTTTAATCTGAAACAAATGAAAACGTGTCGAGTTGATTCATGACTCTAATCTGAACTTTAATCTTTCTTTAGGCTCTCGCTGTGAAGCCCTCGGATCTTCTGGACCCTTCAAGCTTCACAGGTTTTGATGTTTCTTCTCCGTGAACTCTGGTTTTGTGTTTAATTTGAGCGACTCAGACGAACTGTGAGGAAGACGTGAAGAACGCAGGTTTTAGTTTCAGGACGTTCAGTTGAAGCTCCGGTTTTCTTAATCTGCCTGACAGAACTGTGGCAACATGACTGGATGGCTGGATGTGAACCAGAAGAAGCTGGGCAGGAGAACGTTTGTGGAGACTTGGAGCAGAACGACGGCTGAACGTCTGAAACGGGTCGCTCCGAGTCCAGGATTCAAACGGTCTCTGAGACAAAGCTGATTTGTTTTGATTCACGAAGCTCCAGACAGAGATGATCATCCATGGTTCCTCTGGAGACCCTTCCTGTTTCCAGCCTGACTGCAAAGCATCATGGGAGACCAGAGCCTGACGATCCTGCTTCGGAGTCACACGATATGCAGACGATAGAGCCGTTTACATCCAGACACTCGGGACATCTGGTTGAACTGTTCGGACTCTGAGTCAAACAATGACTCGTTTTTAGCTGAACATCAAGAGGACCGTTTTCAGCAGGATCACGTTTTGGTTTGGACCTCGTCCAGAACCACTATGCTCCCTGGAGGACCTCCTCCAGGTACAGGGGGCCGTGGCAGGGGGCTGTGCCTCCTCAGGTGGCTCAGTCTCAAACTGTGGTCCCGTCGGGGGACCCTGGTCTTCGCTCTGCTCTGGTTCGGGTCCTGGCTGTTCCTGAACGGTCTGGTTCTGGTCCACAGGAGCATCCTGTCGGACTACTGCACGGATGACAAGAGCAAGAGGATCCTGCAGCACCTGGTGAGTCCAACAGAACCGCTCCACGCCAAGTTCAAATCTGCAGCTACTTTTTAATTTGTTGGTTTTATAATCGTGGAATTTCTTAAAAACAAACGAATGTATATTTATTTGTGTTTTTAAGATTATACAGTATATACACCTTAAAAACACAAATATACATATATTCTGTATGTATAAGTATTTATATTATATAAAGCTCTATCCAGGTTTCCAGGCTTTGAGTCCCATTTCCACACGAGTTACTGGACTTTAATTTAGATCATTAGTGAGTTCAGCAGCTGGCCGTGGCAGCCATGTTGGATGTTTCAGCAGCTGGC